AAAACTATCAGGACTTAAAAAGCCTCGAAGCTTTTTAAAATATTTTTAACAGGTGATGTATTGACTTTGTAGATGTCAGTTTTCCCCTCCCGTATGTAAAACAGTGTTCTGATTATTTATAAGGTACCTGAGCGTTAGAATTTCAACAAAAATGCATCACTTAGCACATGGAGTCCACATATACACCCTTGTTTATTGAAACTGACCCATTTTAAGAGGCACCATTAAAAAGTGAACTTCTGCTGCAATAATACACAGAATAAATATCAGAATCACTCCAATACCCCCAGTATTTTAACATGGTTACTTAGTTCACTGCTCATCTCGGATAATAAATTGGATTAAATTAAATTTCTTTGAAAAATGTATTTCTCAATACATAGAGGGCTAACACTTTGGGTACAGGACAGGAAATATGCATTCTGGGATCTTCCAGTTTATCAGTGTCACAACAGCAATGTATCATCACCCAATCAGTCTCAGAACTTGATCACCACATCACTAAGTTATACTTACCTGGTATTGGGCGAGCTTAGTGGAGGCCAGGAAGGTAAAACTACATTAACATCTGACATTCCTAGGCTGCAACAGTACTGAATGGGTGGAGTCCCATTTTAGCTGATCTCTGCTGCCACTTTTGGGCTGTTAATCTTAATGGGCTTTCAGGAAATGTGCTCAATGTTGACCAGTTCTATTTCAGCATACTTGTTATGGACAATTTGAAAACAGGAAACACACCAGGACATTTTCTCCCTTCAGACACCATTTCATACATGAACAAAATAAAAAAAAATAAACATTACAATAGGAGGAGGCCATTTGGCCCATCTTGTTCAACTGGTAGCTCCTAGCTTCAGTGATGAGAGGCTCTCATAAAAGGTATCAACTTCTACAAAGTAGCTGAGCAGCTTGTTCCAGACTCTGACAACAAATTGCATAAAAAGTGTCCTGCTCACTGTCTTCCACATATTGTCTCATCAGGTTTGTGTTTCAGTGCTGATTCTGAAGAACATGGGGAGCATGTTACAAAAGACAGTGAGCAAAGAAAGTCCTGACATGTTAGTAAGTGGGCTGCCATGTCCTGAAGTAACATACAGTTGTTACCATTTACACAGCTGGGAATTCTGCTGAAGCAATCTTACTCAAGGATATATGAGCTGAATCCCCATTTCAAGTATGATCCCAGAAACCTAATCACTATTCAAAAACGGAAATGTTCAACAAGAAAAAAAAGTGTGTGTGGGGGGGGGTGGGAGGAGAGCAATAAAAGAGATGTGAAAAAAGGGTGTTTTCTGCTCTGGCTGGTCCTCACACACGGAGCAAAGATCAAAGCACGGGACCACGTGTGTATACACTGTACCGATAAAGCATGTTTAAGCTAAGCTTCCCCACCTTAAAGGCCTTGACATGAAAATAAAAACACTGCACTGCTAGCAGAGTATAATATTTCACCTGAATCTTGAACACCACTTAAAGGAACAGTTTATACCTCAATCACTACTCCCTGCACAACAGGCTTGGCAATCCATTAGGAGAAAAATACAACAGGAGCTACAGCACCTTACAAGTCTGCAGAAGAACACACACAGACCACAGAGAGAGGCTGGAGCGATCGTTTCCAAATTGACATTTTAGTGAATTATATTATTATTATATTTATAATACATGATAAAAAAAATTTAGCACACAACTTTGACTACTTTTAAAGTTACATCCAGTTTTGCGTAAGAACTTATTACTCTACTCTAAAAGTGCCTTGCAAAAGTATTCAGACTCTTGACCAATTCTCTCATTTTAGTGAATTACAAATCCTACATTAAAATTTTGCTCTCTGTGATATTTTTATTTCAAAAGCACTGAAACTCAAAATTATATTGTTACATAATTCAGTAAAATGAGAAAAATTGGTCAAGGGTTTGAATACTTTTGCAAAGCACTGTATTTGTACTTGCTTGAACAGAGCGGTTTTAAATTAAAAATAGGTTTGGGACAGAAGCAGACAACCATTTTGTGAATTAAAAAAAAAGTTTTGGAAAGGGGTTTGCTGGCTACACCACATGTAAGTGTTCCATTTACATGCAGGCATTTCTTTCATGCCTGTTTGTGTACTTGTCAACGTTAAGTCTGAGAAGGCCCTAGATAAGAACAGCACCAAACCATACACAGTATGCACCTTCTGCACACAACAGGTCATTTTGGCAACTTGGCTTCTTTGAGACATTGGGTTCAGTTGGTTTCTGTCCAGGCTATTTGAATTTTGCTCACTATTCGACTCATGATACATGTCAACTGAAAATTAGTCAGGCATACCAACACCGTATAAGCACTGTATAATGCTTTTTATTAATGATAGCAATCCCATGTGCTGGGAACCTTTTCATACTTTTACAAAAACTACAGGATACCTGAAACAATATTGCAATTTTTTAGACACATGGCCAAAATACACACAAACCATTATTAACATACACTACACAGCAATTCCCCACTTACCACTGCTTTAACAAGCACCAAATAATCATTGCTCTCTGCCTTGGCCTTTAGTTCCAATTACTCCAAACACACCTGCATAAAAGCATAATGTCTGGGACATGCATGCAGGACAGGCAGAAGCACATAGTAGCAGGGTATCCAACTACAGCCTGCGCCAAGTGTGCTCTGTCTGTGCTGAAGGGTAAATTCGGACTGCTTGCAAGCATACTGTTTGGCCAGTGTCTTTTGCAGTTGCTCAACAAGAAGTGAAGGAAGAGGCTCAGCCTGCCCCATGCAGCTCCTCCCCTCAGTCTCCCACCAGCGACAAACAACACTGGTGCAAAGTCAAAGTGTAAGTATTTCTTTTCTGACTTATCTTAGAAATAAACACCTTTCTGTATAAATGTGTTATGTGGTACAAATATTGGTAATGTCACTACCGATAGACCAGTAAAGCCCTCCTACAACATCCTTATAAGAAAGTGCACTCTTGGGAAAACATCCCCATGAAACCCAGGCTATAATTGCCTACAATTTATATAATAAAGTCCCAAAGCACTCCTTTCGCTGGAATACAACCTCAGAGTTGAGAGAAAGACTGCTTTACTACAAACCAATAGGGAGCTTTCTCAATACTTCACAAAAGCCCAATGAATGATTCACAACAATTTAACAATTACTGCATTATACTCTTGTCATCAAGTGGGCACA